GGGTGGGTGGGGAGCATCTGGGAGGAGTCAGGGAGGGGAAGGGAAAAATGTGATAAAAAAAAAAATATGACAGTAACGTTTTCAACAAAAAGATAGTACCTTGTGATGTTTGCCTAGGTTGGTTGGCCTCCAAAGTAGCTGGGACCACAGGTGTATGCCATTATGCCTAGTTGATACACAAAGCTTTTTGTTTGAGATGTTTTCAGTGAAATCAAAGGACTGTAGTTCAGGTGAGAGATGTGATTTCACTTAGAGCCAAAGTCTGAAAACTAGAAAACAGAAAGTTCTTGAAGGGATTAAATATGGAGAGAAAAGGAAAAGAATAAAGAATCTTGAGAGGAATCCATCATTACTGAACAGGGGGAGCAGAACACAAGAAGATTAACAACAAAACAAAGTAAGGATAATCTTGATAGAAATAAAACAGCAGTGGCAAAAAACCATCTGGACCTACCAAGAGGTATACAGTGATCTTCTGGTTTAAAACTATCCAGGAAGCAACATGAAGTTCCCAGAAACAGTGCACAATGGGAATTTATAATGTGATCTAGAATCTCAGGTATCAACAGTGGAACTAGTCTGTTCACCTCCCCAGTCCCCTTTCTTCAGCAGGATCCAGTTTATTCTGCTTTGGCTGAGAGCAGTAGGGGCTGCCTTATAATGGCTTAGAGAAAGAGACTGAGGATTGAAGGTAAGTAGTAACAGACAGGAAGGACACCCTTGCACTAGATACAATGTTATTGTCACATATAGGCCAGGGCCTCGCTTCCATGTCCCTATACATATTCAAACTTCAAACTTTAATGTTACTTATGTGTCTAAAACCTAATCATGTATCTCCCATTTTTGGTTCAGAAAAAGAGTCAAGCAAATTTCTAAAAAAACAAACAAACAAACAAACAAAAAACCTCTAATATATGTGGCAATCTACAATAATCCACTCTTATGGAATTCCACTTGAAAGAAAAATAAAAGTTTAGTCAGTTCCATTTTTATTTTGTTGGCCTAGTGTGTGTGTGTTTGTTTCATTCTCATTTGTCTTGTTTAAGGCAGTACAAAGAGGATACTGGCCTATTTTAGCACTAAACAGATAAAAGCAACTGATCCTAATGGTTTTAAGTTTAAGCATTTGGCAGGACTAGCTGACAAACTGATAGGACTAGGTCACAAACTGATACTTCTGGATTTTTTTTCCCTCATGACCTAATTTCTTTTAACCTTTTATTGTTCACTTAAAAAAATACATTTTGGACAAATTGTTTCTAGTCTCCCCATTATGTAAGTCATACATTTTAAGAAGACAATGAGTTTTGAACATCTCAATTTGGCAACATTGTCCCTGTAAAGCTACTAGTAACAGTATTATAAATGTGAATCTAGGCATAAGCACCCCGTCATACTGATTCCTTTAAACCCATGCCAATAGCCAGAGAGGTTGCTGACACTGCTCCAGGTCATCTCCACCTTTCCTTCCATAATCCCAGGGGAGACTGGCTACTGCCAACAGGAAAACAAGGAACCATGAGTTTCTGAATTTTACCAAATTAAAAGTTAATGTATGCCAAAGGATCAGACAGCTGCAAAAGAAAGCTGAAGAGAGGAAGATCAAAGAGCATGATATTGGGAAGACATTACAAACAGTAACAAACGTTATCAGAACTGCTTGAAATTTTTGTGTGGAGTCAGGTCTGTGTACAAAAAAGTATGCAGAAAGTATCACTTTTTACTTCGTAAGAATTGAAAATCTTAATAACAACAGCAAAATCCCAACAAAGTAAGTTCCTGCTGATTAGCCTAGAAACATACCAGTCAAAGTAGTGTTTCTAAGAGGAAAATTCTACGTTTCAAACATGTCTACCATGTGAATATACTGAACAAGACAGATACGGTCTAAGCTCTCACACCCAGCCTGTATTAAAACCTGGTAATCAGGCAGTAACACTACAATGTTATGATAGAAATACAGAAAATAAAGTGCTGAGGTAGAAAAGAATTGGAAGTACACATTTTAAATAGTGGTGGAAGTCAGCAAAAAGGAGCTTTATACCCACCCAGCTCAGGAGAAAAGAAGGAACTAGGTACTTTAAGAACAGGACAAAGAATAGTTCAAGAAATGAAGAATGAGACGATAAAGTGTACCTTGTCAGGAATCCGAGAGCTCACAAAGGTAGAACAAAAGTAAAACATACAGGAAAATGAAGTCTGAAGCATCGATGAAGAGGTTCATAAGCTATGATTAGGTATTAAGATTTTACTTTAACAGAAAACTACCAATGAACTTGTAACAAAACCAGAGTGTAGCCCATTAACTGAGAACTGCAGCCTTCCCACTTGTGCTCAGTAAACACCCTCCCTCCTCTACACCCTGGCTCCAGTGCTCTGCTTTCATGTAGCCCTTATCTCACTTTGAAAGTTCTGTTTGTAGAGCTGTATTTTGTCTTCGCCCCCACAATGCTCTCCAAGCCCCATGGCCATGGGACCGTTGCTGTCCTAACATTCTTTCCCCCACAATCTTACACTACAGTTGACATTAAAAAGAAAAACAAAACTCACTGAATGTCATTCTAGTACTGAATGAGCATTTCGTTGTTCTAGACCCAGATAGATATGCCATCTACATATGTAAAGGCTGTGTGAGTGGGGACGACTGGGTCTTGTCCTCAACTAAGTTATATCATGTAGCAGGCAATAAACTTTTTGGAAGTATAAAAGGGACAGCATCTGACAAAGCATTTGCCTTGTGTAGATATGGATAAATATCTTCAAACAAGAAATGATACTTAATGAATACATTTATTAAAATCAATCAATTTGTAGGTTTTCAAGTCTCTAATGTACTACATACATAGCCACATCCTACCCCTCTTATCCCTGTAATGGATGAGAGGAGCACCTGATAGATATCACGTTTAAAACAATAAAAGCAGAAAGAGAAAACTCAATTGCTGAGCAGACAGTAATAAAACTTACACAATATCCAACTTGTATGAAATTCTAGAACTTCTTTTCCTTCATGTTTAAGGGAGCCAAATTTTTATCTGCACTGATTCAGCAGTATGTTTACAAGCTTTTCAGGGAAATCCAGTAGTACCCAGCTTGCCCACCTCTGCCACTACTAAAGTAAAGTACTAATAGCTGAGAGTATTAGGAAGGGAACCCTAGATCAAAGGACAAAGAAAAGAGAAAGAAAAACAGGAGCATAAAAGAAAATACAATCACAAGGTTAAGTTCAGCATTATTTAACAAATGATTTATTTGTTCTGTATCTTTTTTTCCTGTATTTTTATGTATCATAAAATTATTATGTTTAACATTTAACAAATGATACATAAGACAAGTTTAGGGGGAAGCTTTTTCTGTACACTTGGAAGCAAACAGTACTGTGTAACACATCTTAGATCTTGTGTTGTGCTGAAGTGAGTTCCTTGAGAATGGAAATAACAGCAGGGAGGTAGTGGCATACATCTTTAATTCCAGCACTCCTGTGGCAGAGGCAGGCAGATCTGTGTGAGTTCAAGGTCAGCCTGGTCTACAAATTGAATTCCAGGACAGCCAGGTCTGTTACACAGAGAAACCTTGTCTCAAAAAACCAACAAAAAAGGGAGAGGGTAGTAACTTCTGGGGAGGAGGCCTGGAGTCTTACTCGTTTTTCTGTTCTCTCTTAAAATGAGTTAAGCATGGCCCTCAAAATGAACACCAGTACTATTTCTAGCCAGTTTAAAGAGCAACATATGTGGCCTAGAAAAGAAAGTTCTATGCAATAAAATGTAATTGGTGGTAATGTGAGAGGCAGACCTAATTCAATTCTTACAAGGATTGTAATGACAAATTGTACAGGGAATTTAGAGTTTCTCAGCATAGAATACAAAAAAAAAAAAAAACAATATTATAACTTCAAATGCCAATAGTCTTAAACTGGTAACGTTACAAATGTCGCATAGAGTTTACCTTGAGTATCAACCGGTCAATACAACACACACACACACACACACACACACACACACACACACACACACACACACACACACAAACACCTATTTGAACACATTATTGACAGTTCTAAAGTAGGAAGGAAACATTTTAACTACTCACGGATAAAGTCCTTATACCTGTTGAAAAGCAACTAAGGATTGTTGCCTGGTGAGTTAAGAGTTTTAGCCAAACCACATATTCAATAGCAATGAATGATACAACATGGCAAAAACTGGTAACAAAATGCCAAGCATCGAAATGGGGAGAAAAAAAAAAAAATAAAATCAAACTCGATAAAACGTTAAGGCTTGAGGTTCAGCCAAGTGTTCCTGGGAAGAACACAGGCAAACCTCGGCAATCTCCTTCTAAGAAAGCGACTGAAATAAACTCTAGCTGGCAATCTCTGAGCTTGTCAATATAGGCTGAAATTTCTAGAAAAGTTGCTCAACAAGAAAGCGTGGCCCAAGCCAGGAAGCATCACCACCGACTTCCAAAGAGAAGGCAACGACGACACAGGATGCTGCACGGTTCGTGGACTTGGCAACACCGGGCCAGGAGGGTGTGGACCTGCCCGGCAAGGTCGGTTCCGCGCGGCCAGCGCCCCAGCCCTTAGCTCACCCCGGGCCGCCCTGGGGTGCTGCCTCCCGGGACCCGGGGCTCGCACACCGCGCAGGCGCCCCTCCACCTCCGACTCGACTCCAGAGCCCTCAGGACCGCCGGCGTCGCCCCTCGCCCTCCCCACAACCCCGCGCGCGAGGCCACCGGGCGCCAGCAAGGACGGTGTTCGCCTCAACTAGTCCGTCAGCAGCCACCCAGTAATGTCCAGCCCAGAGCCTCCTGCCCTCGTTGCATTCCGCCCGGGAGAAACGCACCCCACCACGTCCGCCACATCCCCGCCACTTCCCCAGGCCGGGCCCCCGCTGCCTTACCCCGACCCAACAAGCACAAGCCTAGAAATAGCAACTCCGAGCTCAGCCGATTGACTGACTGATAGGCGGCAGCACGATCACGACACTTTCACGATTGCCGTAAAGCGGTGGCTCAGCAAGGGCTGCTGCGCGTCTCCGAGCTGCCTGGGAGCGCGCCCCGGGGCTCCGCCCAGACTCCTGCAGCGAGCCGGGTCTGCGTGCTGAGGCTGGAGCTGGCGGGTCGAGGACAGGAAAGGAAGACCCAGAGGTGGGTGGCGGAGAATGGCTGGCCTAGCCCCGAGCTGGGGTGTCTAGCGGAGGCTGCGGCGGAAGATGGGCATTAAAGGTTCAGGCGGGACCTCGGCGCGAGCCCCCATCGCCCCGGGGAGCACGAGCCTCACCTGGCTTCGGATTGCACTTGACCCTTCGCGGGCCAGCTCCGGGAACCCGGTCGCGATGGATGACAACCAGGCTGAGGTCTCCGCGCCCACTTTTTCTCTCCTTGGTACCTCTACCATCAGCGTACTCCAAGTGGTGCTTCGTGCCAAACTTGACTTCGCTGGTATTTTCCCTGTCTCAGGCAGAGCGAAGCTCTTTTACTACAAGACTTGCAAAAAAGGGGGGTGGTTGGGGGGGTGGGTTGTGAGGGGAAGAAAGAAAAAGTGTCTTAGACACTCTGCTTTTGTTGAAGCAGCTAACGAAACCTTTCCGTACCCTTTGTCATCCCTGGACCCTTATTTCTAGTTAGTGGGGGCTGGGGAAGTTCGAAATGGAGCTCAGTGGTGACCTTGTGTTTACACAGAGCTCAGTGTCTAACCCATGATTGTGTTTCAGGGAGTGGTCCCTATCTGAAAGAAAATTTTAGTCCTGTGAATTCTAACAGCCGCGCTCCTTTGAAAAACAGTGAGCCAAGAATAAGTTTTCCAGCTTTCCCAGTTTTAATTTATAAAGAAGTACCCAAATGTAAAAAATTCTTATTTCTCCCCCGTGTAACTAGATGCTTTAGGATTAGCCAGTAGAAAATACTACTTTTGTCAAGAGGCCATATTAGAATTCAGGAAAATAGTCATTTTTATGCTTTGTTTGGGCCTAATGGTCCTGTGCACTTCTGAAAACAGCCTGAGGCCACCTGTTTGTTCACTTGGAATGTCCAGAGTTTACATTTTTATTATTCTTTAGTTGTCATCATTTAGTGGCTTTTAAGTGTTTATGAAAAAGAAGTAACTGGATTTCTGAATCATGGAACTTTAAAAAAAGCAGAGAAGATGGGTGAGAGATGCAATACAGTTTGTTAAAATTCTTACTGTTGTCTAAAGTTTTCTTATATTGTCAAGTAGTTTTAAAGCTTTCTTTCCTTTTTTTTTTTTTTTTGGTACTGGAAATTGAACTTAAGGCCTCTTGTTTGCTATGCAAACACGCTAGCCACCTCCTTAAAAGGGTTCTTGACTGTTTTAGCTCTTAAAATGGTTGACCATTTTAATTCTAGTCTACTTGGTGGGAAATTTTTCTCATGCTTTAGCTTTCAGAGGTGAGGGTTCAGAGGCAGTTAGTACTCTTCCTTACCCATCCTGTGTACTTCATTAATTGTCTCTGGCAGATGCTACAGTATTTTAAGCCCTGCTTTGCCTCTAAACTGTCCATTTAAACAGCTAGAATCTTCAAAGCCTAAACAGATACAAGAACATCATACCTAGAAGAAATCCATACACAGCCATGTGTGGGTAGTTATGATTGCAAAATTTATAAAGAATTATAGTATTTTTTTACTTATTTTAAATTGGAGTACTGTCTCTCAGAAATTAAGTACTTTACCTGAAGTCCAATAACTAGAAAGTCACAATTGTGAGATTTTTAAAAATTTGTCTCCTGTTGGAACAGTAAGAAAATTGACTTCTTACAGTTAAAACATTTTTTTAATTACAGATGGTAGATCACTGATATTAATAATTTCAAGCATCAACTGTTTAAAGAAAAACATTTTGTTCATAATGCAACATTCTAGTGTTCAGACCACAGATACTGTTTGTTCACTGGCTTAAAATCATGTGGTTAAAATAATAACATATTTTCTTTGTATTTAGATTTCAATATTTGCAAAAGGAACAAGTCTGGGCATTCTGAAGATTGGAATTTTGTGAACTTATAAAATAGGTAATTTATCTTTCACATTGTAAAAAGGAGTAAATACTAACCACCTAACATCTATTATCTCATTTAGTATTTTAATAAACCTTACTGTAACAGCTATTCTTCAGACTGTTTAACAAATAATATTGAGGCTTTGAGATGGTTCAGCATGTAAGATAATCACCAGCAAGTCTGAGAACCTGAGTTCAATCCCTCAGACACACATAGTAGAAGAAAGCTGATTCCTGAAATTTATTCTCTGGCCACATGGCATGTACACACACACACACACCCACACACCACATAAATGTAATTTAAAGTATTTGATAATATTAAAAGCTGCTAATGACAGTACATCACCAGTGTGCTATGTTCTTTCCTTGTTGTCATAGTAACTTCTATAATAACTATGTAGCACAGTCTGGTGGAACTTTTCCATGATAAGGAAACATCCTGTACTTTTACTGTCTTGTTGCTAGCCACTAGACAGGCTCTGAGCATTTGTATTGTGATGAATACAACATAGGAACTAATTTGAAATTTTATTATATATTAATTTCAATAACTGTGTGTACCTTTCTATTAACTACTGCATGGATGGTGGTTGCAGTCTGTGCTGAAATTATTTCCATTTTTTTAAAAAGAGAAATTGGCTCAGATGAATTTTGAAGCTTGCCCAATATCACACAGTTTTATTTTTTAAAAAGTGTTAATGTGGGGGAATAGGTAATTTGGAAATGCAGATTGAATGGATGGAGGGGGAGAAAAGCAGTTCAGTCAGGAATGAAGATCAAAACAAGAGTGGCTACACCGTAGAGTGGGTAGAAGGATGGAAGAAAGGAATAAATGACTTACAGAAATAGAATCACTGTTATTTAGTGATAGCATGTAAGGGGTTTTGGAGAGAGCCTACTCTGCAAGAGTCCCAAAAATCAGAAAAAAAAAATGATAATGCAACTTATTTAAACAAAAAATACAAGTCCAGTGACTGGAGTTTGATGGTTTGGTGTCAGTTTTTCATTCATTCAACTATTAAATAAAATTCAAGTAAGTGATGAGGGGTGAGTTCATGTGTTTGCATTTGGCAAAGTGGAATCTCACTCTTTCACTTCAGATACCTTGTAAATGTTCATGCTATAGAAGTAAAGAGCTATAGGCATGCAAGTCAAATTTCCTCAGGAAGTGCTTGCTTCTTCTACATGCAAAGAGATTGGCAAAGGTTGTGCATAGAAGATAGCATTTCTGCCTTGTGTTTCTGTATGTGCTGGTGCACTTGTATGCATTTGGTTGTGAGGACAGATGGCAGCCTCAGATGTCATGTACCTTTTTAAAGATGGAATGGCTCACTGGCCCGGTATTTGCCACATAGCTTAGGCTGACTAGTGAGCCCCAGAAATCCTGTCTCTTCGTCCTCAGCATGAGAATTGTAAGCACTTTGTCATACCCGGCTCTTATTTACTTGAATTCTGGGTTAAACTGAACTATCTATCTAGCCCTCTGCTGCATTTTGAATGTTAAAAAGGATCTATAAATCTAGAAGTAAAAAAAAAAAAAAAAAACAGTAAAATGGGGAAGAGGTTATCTGACTAGTAGTGGGATGAGCAAAATGTTTGAAGATATCCTTGACCCAAACATCTAAATTCTGAATAATTTATATTAGCTTTTTAAATGCAAAACACATTTTCTATGAAAGAAAATGGAATTTCTTAGCCAGGCATGGTGGCTCATGTCTGTAATCCCAGAACTTGGAGGTAAGACAGGAGGATTTTAAGTTTGAGGTACCTTAGACAATAATGTATTCCAGGCCAGCTAGAACTCAATGATAAAACCTTATGTTAATCAACCACATTTAGCAAAACAAGGAAAGGGAAACCCTCCAGGCTGAAAAATCAAGCAAGGAACTGAAGCAAGAGAGATAAACTAGCTGTTATCTTCTTTGAAAGCATTTGACTTATAACAGAAAAAGAACAGTGAAGGACAAGGAAGGGAGGATTCATACCTGGATCTCCTGGTTGCATGACCAAGACAGCATTTTTATAGTTTATGCAAATGGTATCAGGTTTCAAGTAAGTAATACTTTCATAAGGTAAAATGCAAATGTTTCCTCTTAATTATATAACCCATATCCTTTGAACTGCCTTTTCTCAAATTTAGCCAGGGTCTATCTTTACACAGTCTGTGAATGAGGGACCAGAATAATCTCTCCCTCTTGGCAAAGAGAGATCACTGAAATTTGTCTATTTTCTTAAGTCTCTAGGTGGAAGAATCAAGATACTATCTGAGAACTAGAAACTGTATAAAGCCTACCATCATTGAGTCAAAGTTCAAGTTTACAGTCTACATGGTCTGAAAGACTAGAAGCCAAAGAATTAACACAAAATTGACCCAGGTTAGTAATAACTCCAAGTGTTTAGCAAGATCAAATGCAGACTCTCCATGGAATAATTCATTTATTCAGTGTGTGTGTGTGTGTGTGTGTGTGTGTGTGTGTGTATGGTGTGTGCATGTGGTGTGTGTATGGTGTGAATGTTCCTGTTCAGGTGTATATGGTGAGGTCAGAGGACAACTTATGAGAGTTCTGGGACTCAAACTCAACACTAAGTTTCTTAGAACTAGTCGTTTAAGAGTTTTTCCATTCATAACTCTTACCAGAGAAAATTTTACATGATGTTGGGTATATAGTTACATGAACTATGTAAGCAAATCAAATGTTGATAATAAAATCATAAAGAAATTTATTTTAAAACAGTTTTTTGATATACATATGATTTTACCATTTATGAAAAATGTAGCAAATATGAGTGCTAATGTGACAGATGAACTTGTTTAGTTGTACATTAAAGATTAAGTCACTAAATATTTGATACTCTAAGGCAGTATTTCTCAATTTGTGGGCCGTACCCCCTTTGGGGTCAAACAACCCTTTCACAGGGTTGCCTAAGACAATCGGAAAACACAGATAATTACATTGTGATTCATAACAGTAGCAAAACTATAGTTATCAAGTAGCAATGAAAATAATTTTATGGTTGGGGTCAACAAAACATGAGGAACTGTATAACAGCATTAGGGTCACAGCATTAGGAAGGTTGAGAACCACTGATCTAGAGCAAAGTGCATCCTCTGGGTTTTGCAGAGCTGATAGATTTTAATTTATCCTATTTATGCTGCTTTGCAAAATTATGTAGTACAAGGTAGCAGAAGTCCATTTAGAACTATTTTATTTGCTAGAAATTTTGTCCTAGTCCCAAACTGCAATCATTTAATGACTTTTTTTTGTTTGTTTTGGCTCAAATCTGTAAATCTGAACTTTAAAAATCAAGTATTCTAACACATTTCAGTCAGGATATACTAATCAGATGCTACACACTGAGGAATGACAGGAAAATATGAAAGTATTTGTTTTCTGTAATTAAACCATTATGCTTCTTTAAGAACAGAAAACTTTGTAATAGCTAATATGAAATAGCTTTGAATCTGAGCGAGGTGTTTCAGGCAATGTTCACTGATAGTTGAGTACATGGTGCAAAATGTAACTTGTGTGATCAGAGCCAAAGCTGCACAGAAGTTGTGCAATACAAGCCCAGGCAAACACATGCAGGTTTTTCTGGGTTTATTACACTGTTGAATTTGGATTGTTTGATTGTTGTATGTTTAGAAACCTTTTCCTGTTTACCAGATTTTTCATGATCCATAATTTAAGGAGCTAGAATTTAGAATACTTTCAGATTTAAGATCACACAAATGCAAGCTCATACTTGGAAGCCATAAATCATGCTGGGACGGTATTACAGTTTGTGGAGCACCCAGCATGCAGGAAACCCTGGGTTAGATTCCTGGTACTGCATAAACTGGATGTGATGGCACAGGCCTATAATTCTGGCACCTAAGCGATGGAGATGATCATGAGTTCATACACTTTCTTGACTACATAGGGAGCTTGTACCCAGTCTAGAATTAAAAAAAAAAAAAAAATCATGTTTTTCTATTTTTGGAGTTTTACAGTTAATATAGTTTTTTATTTTATAGGGACTTCTGTGATCAATTTTGAGTTAATGATTTATAGAATTATAGTGTATGACTTATTATTTCATACATAGGACAAGTTAGTCCAGTACTGTTTGTATACCGGATAGCCTTTGCTTGATTACATTGTCTTTATTCCTTTGCTAAATAAAGATTTCTTGACTCTGTCTAACAAAGAAAGTGGGAAGGAAGGGAGGAAGGGAGGGAGGGAGGGAGGAAGGAAGAAGAGAAGGAGGGAGGGAGAAAGACAAAAAGAAAGGAAGAACTGTTTAAAAAAATACATATTGGAGACTATATGCCATCATATTACAGGTTTCTAAGAGGTCAAGCTCTAAGAAAAGCACATGTAAGACTTAACAAAATCAACAGATAATAGGGTTCCTACAGACTTGAGAAGAATTATTGGAAACAGGAATTAAAGTAGCATTTAAGAGCTGACGAAGGAATGTTACCCATCAGGCTTATTCTCTCCAAAACCTACTTTAGAAAAAGCACCTATAGTATATTGGCAAGGAATTGCCAAGAATAAATAGATAAATGAAAATGTTGAGAGATCATTAAGGACATTTAGAAAAAGGGAAAAACTCTAGGAGATTATAACAGTTTCGACAGGAAATTACTTGGATCAAACTTATGCTGGTAGCTTTTTGGAGCAAAGGGAAAGCAGCTTTCTTAGCAATGTAAATATGCTTATTTTGCAACTTATCATATGATTGAAGCAGATGACAAGTTGCAAGTGGCTGAGATTTCACTATTGGGAAAGTCAGCCTGAGACACGGAAGTAGAAGATTGTGGAGCATTAGTCAGACTCAAGGAATTTGAATTGGTATTTACAGGAATTATAAAGTTGATGGGAAATACTAGGAACAATCACTTTTAAATTTATGTTTTTAGCAATTAAGTCTCTAAATATTTAAGTAAATGAAGATATAATTCATATTCTTGGCTTGTTATACATAACATCTTGGCATGTAGTATATATTTATTTTTTTTTTAACCTTTTGTATAGGAACCAGAAATATAATAGTGTCTAAAATAATTGTTTCTTGTTCTCCTAAAACTGAAGTTTAGTGAGGAAGGAAAACCAAACAAGGTGTTACCATTCAGTGTGATTGGTGTCCTTGTTGGTGAAGTACAGGCTGCTGCTGGAAACATCAGGACACTGAGCTAAAGGTAGACTTGGAAAATGTGTAGAGGTTAGAGCTGGAGGGATGACTAGGCAGTTCAGAGCACTGGCCCAGATGGCTCGGTTTTATACCATCCATGGACATATTACTCACAGGCAGGTCCAGCAAGTAGTTCTTCTCCCTGGGTGGGGAAGTAAAGAAAGGTTTCTTGAAATAGCAGAGCAGCTGTTTTTCAGTCATGGGAACTCTTGCTGTCATGCAAATAGTCCTCCACTTCCCCTTTACCATTTACTTTCCCAAGCTCTCTACCTATTGACTTCCCAGTGTTATCCAGGCTGCTGTGGACCACAGTGGGAGCCCTGGGTGGATTTACTAGCAGCATGCCTTCCTTGTCATCCTGTTCCTGCTGCAGTGCCCCCACTCGTCTTGATAAAGGAAATCCAAACCGGGCAGGGATGGCCCTATGCTGGGCTTGTCACCCTGGTCTTCCTGCATTTTTGCATTTTGAAGCCCTACATCCTTTGCTGACTTCTCTCCATCACCCACAGTCACAAGTCAAACTCTGGACTGTATCTTCTTGAGAAACTGATATAGCTCAGTTGGTAGATGATTTACTTTGTATACATATCCAAAGCCCCGAGTTTGAGCCTCAGAACCTCATCAACCAGATATGGTGTGGTATACACTTGGAATCCCAACAATTAAGGTAGCCAGCCTGGAATGCTTGAGACCTTGTTTCAGAGAGAGGCATACTGACACATATAGGCAGGCAGACTGAGCCTGAGGTGGGAAAGTCACTGACCTCTGGATGTCAGAGGTTTAGGTTCAACCCGACTGACAAAAAAAAAAAAAAAAAAAGTCTGTTTGGCTCCAAACACCACATTTCTCATTTACTATGAGGGCCTGGATGAGAGGGATGAGGTCCAGAAATCCTGACCAGGGAAACTATTGGTCTGCTGCAGAATATACTACAAATTGACAATCCCCACCTGCCCATGGTAAGTCAAGAGCCTCTGTCTTCCCATCTAGATGTCTTCTGTGGAATACAGGCATCCTCCACTATTTTTGTTCATCTGATTGGTCTGTTTTGGATTTTGAACTGAAACTGTGTTACAGAATCAGGATTGATTAATGTCAATCTTTCCTTCTAAGGATGGCTAGAGGCTACAACTGCCCAGCCAGCTCATCAGTATATAAGGTATTTGCCAGTCTAGAAATTACAAAGACTTTAGTAGTTTTCTTTTCCCTAAGAAGCAGAAGACCACATTAATTGATTTTAGACCAATTGTAGATTGAGAATATTAGGGAGAAAAACAAAACAAAACAAAACCAACTGTATTGTAGATGTAAGATATTTTTATTATCTGAGTAACATTATGACAGCTGTCTTATTGATTTGCATTATTATAATATAGATGTGACCTAAAATGTATGGGGTATATGTAGACTATAGGCAAATCCTATGCATTTTGTATGAAGGACTTGAACATTTTTATATTTTTGTATTAGTGAGGTACTGATGATACGGAAGGGTAGCTTTATACTTAACAGCACTACAAAGTTCAGTTAGAAAGTTATTCTAATAATCTGGTCAAAGCTGAAAGTGGTTTAGGTAGAATAGTAGCAATGAAGATGGAGAGAAGGTAGACTGCAAAGAAATAATAGGAGAGGAATCAGGATTGGTACTTAGTTATGTGTGAAATGATAGGTGGAAAGCAAGTTTCTGCTGTGGCCAGTAGGTGAGTCTTAGCTCTGAAAAAATAATGCCGGGATAATATGTAAAGGAGGCTTGCAGGGTAAGAGTACAAATGTGAGCATGCTTGCAGAACGAGAGTACAAGTTTTGTGGAGTGGGTGACTTAACGAGTGGAAAAACTTGTGCATTACTATTTCTCATTTGTATTTTCTGCTGTAGACAACCTGTTTGAAATGTGGTGGTTTCAGCAAGGCCTCTGTTTCCTGCCATCAGCACTTGTAATTTGGACATTTGCTACCTTCATATTCTCATACATTACTGCAGTAACACTCCACCATGTTGATCCTGCATTGCCTTATATCAGGTCAGTGAAACATATTGGTCTTTTAGAAGTAACCCCCACCTTCAGAACTGGAATTGAAAGACAGGTCCAGGTAAGTGCCCCACCACCATGCTACTTTCCCAGACCATGGAGAGTCTTTATCACTAATTGGTAATTTACATTGAATCTGGCCCTTCAGTTTTCATTTGAAAATTCAAGTTTTTATGTTGCCATTATAGCAAAGCTAACATTTGATTCTCTCCATGTAATGGAGAGATATAGGAACAGTGGGATAAGTCAGTTAATAAGTCTAATCTCTTAGTGACTTATCTTCTAAGTAAGTGCTTGAGCTTGCCTCAGAAACTAGGAATAGACCTACTTTCCTCTTAAAGTTAATAAATGTTGCAAACAATAGTAACATTAGGAAAACATAGTAGTACTGGCAAATATTTATTAATTTATTGTGTGACAAGGTAATGTTCTAAGTACTCTTCATACCTTAGGTAATCGAATCCTTATATCATCCATATAAGGTAGAAAAATTTATCCTCGTTTAAGAAGAGAGGCTCTGTAATCCTCCTCTGTAACTGTAATATATATTTGAAATAACCAACTTAAGGAGAAAAGGTTTGCTTTGTCTCACAGTTGTAGCGCCTTCAGACCATGATTAATGGGTACCATTGCTTTGTCATGGCAATAATACATAGGGAACAAAAGCACTAACCTCATGACCTGAAAGCAAAAGCAAGGAGGACAGAGCTTTGTAATTCCCTTTAAGTGTCCATACCCAATGACCTAAACACCTGTTAATGGGCCTCACATCTTAAACGACCTACAGACTACCCATAATACTTCCTTGTAGACTATACTTTGAACATGTTCAATAGCTATATCACAGAAATAAGGTAATGGAAAAGTATGTGATTTGTTCAATGATACACAACTCATTCAGTCATGGAATCAAGACTTTTACCTTCAGTTTTATTCTAGGGACTGTGTTCCTACTTTTCATGACCTGCTGGCTAGATATTTCTGACAAAATAGTTATCAATAGTTACTGTTTTTTTTTTTTTTTTTGAAATTTCAAAACTACTAACAATTTAACTATGGGGGTGTTACATGAACTGTGTCATAACCACTTTTAAATTTCATTCTTATGAGTGTTTATCAGGCAGTTTATATGTACAGCATATATACTTAGTGCCAGCCAGATAAGTTCATCAAAGCTCTTGGGACTGGAGTTACAGAGGGTTGTAAGCAGCCATGTGAGTGCTGAAAACTGAACCCAGGTCGTTTGTAAGAGCTGCAAGTGCTGTCAACTGCTGAGCCACCTTTCTAGCCCTCCTCTTCCCATCTTTTTAAAATACAGAAGCGGCAAGTAATTATTGCAACAAAATTTTAACAAGATGATGTTGCGTATAAACTAGGGCTAACTTTGCCATTAATGCTTGCTGTTGCAGAGGATCCACATTGGATTCCCAGGTCCCACATGGAGTGACTCCCAACTACCCGTAACTCCAGTTTCAGTTTCAGGGGACTTGATGCATTCTTCTAGCCCACACAGGTACACACACATAAACATAAATTCAGAATGAGAATTAAGAAAAAAAAGAGTGAATGGGCTGAGCTTCAAGAGTCTACTTGAAGAAAGGGAGGAACAATGACATGAGCAAAGGTGCCAAGATAAGTTTGGGGAAACTCACAGGAACAGCTGACCTGAGCTAGTGGGAGCTCACTGACTCTGGACTGACATCAGGATTCTGCATAGGACCAAAGTAGGTCCTCTGAATGTAGGTGACAGTTATGTGGCTTGAGCACTCTGTGGGGCCACTGGCACTGATGCCAGCATTTATCCCAAGTATTTGAACTTCCTTTGTGAAGCGCATTCTCTTTGGAGGGATACCTTGATTAGCCTAGATATAGCAGAGAAGGCCTTGGTCCTTTATCAAAGTAAGGTATCAGAGTTCACTGATTCCCCATGGGAAGCCTTACCCTCTCTGTGGAGTAGATAGGGAATGGGGCGGAGGGAAGGAAGAGGTTGCAGGAGGAGGGGAGGGAGTGGGAACTGGGATTGGTATGTAAAATGAGAAAAGGTTGTTTTTAAAATAAATAAAATGGAAGTCCCTTTTTCACACCTGAAGTTCCACCTCTGAAAGTGATAGGTGGTTTGGTAGCTTTTCTTCCAGAGTTTGTTTTTGTCATCCATGTCTTTAAAGAGTTCTTTTTCCCTTTTTCTTATTGTTATTTTTTTTTACTCTGTAATTTTCATTTTTAAAAATAATAAGTTATTACCATCTCCCCTGTAACGATGAAGGTTTTTCCTGCCGGCCTGGACCCACCATGGCGCCAGCCCCAAATAACACACAGAAACTCTGTATTTGATATAATGCTGTTGACCAGTTACTGGTTTCTTATTGGCTACATCTGTCTTAATTATTAACCCATTTTTATTAATCTAAGTACTTCCATGTGGTCTTATCTTACCTGAGGGAGAGGCCGGCGTTCTGCTCTCTCCATCTTCCATCTTGACTCCTCCCTACTACTTCCTCTCTCCTCCTTGTCTCCTACTCCCGCCTATCTTCCTTTCCTATTGGCCAACAGTGCTTTATTCATTAACCAATATGAGAAACATATTTACAGAATGACATCGCCCATCACTCCCCTTCTGGCTTTTAGAAATAATGTGATAATAAAGACCCCATTACATAACTTTACATACTGTGCTGAAATGTAGGTATATTTATCTATGTAGTATTGCTGGGTAGACAACAAGGTAAAAAGACTTTGACTTTGACACTTTCAGACATGCTTATACACTCACAAAGAGAATATGAGAAAAATCATAATTATGAATGGTTTCTAAGATACTAGAGTTTATGAATAAAATGTTTATAAGAAAAAGATGAATTAAATATGGAGAGAGGAAGAGTTAAAGGAATTAAACAGGGTTAGAGGTGGTGAAAACACCATCACTAAGTACAACTCAGCAGGCCCTCGTGCTTTCATCTAAATGATTCTCTGGATTTTATATATATACATATATATATATATGTATTTGAAGCCTTTGAAACATCATCTTAGAGACACTGAATCAATTACTTTTTTTTTTTTCGTTGTTGTTATTTGGACCTTTGTCTAAATAGTATTTTTATGCTATGTTTATTGCAATTTTTTATTTCCTCATTTATTTCTTATGAATAACCTTTTTAACACAGAAAACAGCAAACTTTTAAAAAGTGATAAACCAGAAGGTTCAGTTGAGCTATTAAAACAGCCATTGCCAAACAGGTGTGCTTCAGAAGGGGTACCATATGGCTGTGGTTTCTGTAGTGGAGATAACACACAAAGGTCATACACAAATTAGGTGCACTTAGAACCCACAGTTTTTCTTTTATGATTTTAAATGTTCATTTCTAGTAAAAATTTAACAATAACCCTTGTGTTAGAGAAACACATAGCCCAAGGATCCAAACAAATTCCTTGTAGCTCTGCAAGAAGATGTATATTTAAGATTGATGAGGGCCTGTCAGCATTTTTATTTCCCCTTCTGGAAACCTGTTTTCTTACATTCAGAGCTTTCTGTAACTTAGGAGCTAATGAGTGTCTTTTGAATGTTTCAGTTCTCTGTTGGTCTCGTCTGTGATCTTTCCAAGTTCCCTGGACACCCCCACCCCGCCCCATCTCCTTTTGCTTTTATTTTTCTGATAATAAGCTCTGTATTGCCCTGAACTCTTTCTCTAATGCTAAGATATTTTCATTGTAGTACCTATTCTCCCCTTAGGCTCATTTCTTTGGTCTGCATGGTACATAACTAAGTTAAGATAAATATGCAAAAGGATTTCCTTTTGGATTGCAGGTGCTATCCAAACAGTTACAGTCACAAAGGACATGAACAAATACAAAATTCATTTCAGAGGTTTGTAAGCAGTGTACTTCAGATAGGGTACCAGCTGTTGGCTGTACAGCAAAGGAAATAGTCCAGGGAAGAGGAACACATAGTGGGAGAGAATCTGATAGAAGATTAATATCCAAAATATGCAAAGAACTAATAAAGAGCCGAGAAAAGGATCCAAGTAAAAACGGGCTGTAGATATGAACAGAATTCAAAAGAAATAAAAATTGCTAAGAAATAGCTCAAAAAGTACTTAACATCCTTAGCAATTAGAGAATGCAAATTAAAACTCCTTTGAGATTTCATCACATACCATTTAAAATGGCTAAAATCAGTTGACAACAAATGATAGCAAGGATGTGGGGAGAGCCCACACTTGCTGTTGATGGGACTGCACCCTGATGGAGCCACCCTGGAGATCAAGGTATAGAATTCTTTCAAAGCTAAAAATTAATCTACTGCATGACCCAGCTATGCCACTCCTTAGCCAATTGCTCAGAGGAATTGATGTCCTGCTCTACAGGTACTTGCTCAGTCATGTTCATTAACAGTTGATTCACAGTATATGGAATTTACATCAAATGGAAGCATCTTAAATGTCTTTCAACTGTTCAGTGAATAATGAAAACGTAGTACAAATATACTATAAAATATTATTAAGCTGTAATCAAAAATTAAATTATGAAATTTTCAGGTAAATGGATTGAGCTAGGTAATCCTGATCCAGAAAAAAATGTTGCATGTTCTCTGTCATCTGCAGTTCCTAGCTCCAAATCTTCAGATGTGAGTACATATTCTGGAGCAGTTGCAGAAACCAAGAAAGTAAAAAGGGACTGTGGAGGGAGGGAAGGAGCTCAAGAGCAAGATACAGGTCCGCAAAACAGAAAGGAGAGGAAGAATAATAATACTGTAGATATTTGAAAAAAGGCACATGGAATCATACTATTTTATGTTTGTCTGAACTTACTTTGTGTGTGTGTGTGTGTGTGTGTGTGTGTGTGTGTGTGTGTGTGTGTGTGTGTGTGTGTGCCAATATGTAGTTTAAATGAAAATTTACCACTTGGAGTGGTAGAATTCTCCCTGCAACAGCCATAGACTACCTAGCAAAACTCAAGTGCTAGACATGAGAACCTTCCTTTATGTTGTTGGTCAGGGGAGTCCAAACTACTTACCAATGAGAAGAGTCTATTGCTGTTGTCCTTGATTGCCTCACAGAATGTGAAGCTAAGTCCCTAATGCTGAAGACCCATGTACTTTAGACACAAGACTCAGACAAAATTTAAGCTGAATCTGACCTGGAAGCCTTCTTCCTGAAAAACTAGCTTTCATGGTACTACAATGTGCTATGCAAGCTGAAAAAGGAGAAAAGCAATCAGTGGTCCTACCCAGTTATGATACCTACAAACTACAACAATGACCAACATGACAAAGATATCTGTAAAGGTACAATAGTCGTACTTATATCAGGGCACTAACCAACAATTGTATAATCTGTAATACTTTACTTCAAGACTAACCACCTTGTCTTTTTAATCTGTATAATAATTTTAGGAAAAAGGAAACAGTAATGCTTATTGAGTGTCTCCACTTTGCTGGATAGTTTACATGAGTTATCTCACATTTTATTTCATTCTTGTATTGATCCAGCAAAGCTGGGAATAAATGAATAGTTCCATTTAGCAGATGAAAAAAAATAGTGTTAAGGAGCTAAAAGAATGTATTGAAAGATTTACACTTTTTAAATAGTTTGTTTTCGATCGGAATCTGTGTAGTAGTCCGCAGTACCTTGGAGGATAGGAATGTATCATGATCTGTTGAAATACAATGTAGTAAGTGGTTTGTCAGTCATGGAGGACTGGTCCAAGGTTAAAAGTAAGAAGATGCTCAAAATCAGTCCTGACTATGAGTTCCATGAGGGTAGAAGTTTCATCTACCTTGTTATCCTCTCTACTCCTGTCCCAGAAAATGATCACTGTGCTGGTTTGAAGGAGTGACACTACTAGGAAGTGTGACCTTGAGGGAGGAAGTGTGTCACCAGGGGTGGGCTTTGAGGTTTCAGAAGCTCAAGTCAGGCCCAGCATCACTCTTCCTGCTCCCTGCTGATCCAGATGTAAAACTCTTGACTCCTCCAACATGTCTGCCTGCATACTGCCATGCTTCCCACCATGATGATAATGGACTAAACCTCTGAACCTGTAAGCCAGCCCTAATTAAATGTTCTTCTTTATAAGAATTGTTGTGGTCATTGTGTCTCTTCATAGCAGTGAAAACCCTAACTATAGACAATAACTGATAAATGGTATTTGATAAGCATTTTAAATGACCAGTTGATGAACAAGTGTTATTTGAAGTTCAGGCAATCAACAACAGGTACAAAGAGACAAGAGCTATGAAAGGCAGTGCTGCTTACAGAATATTCCAGTGAGGCTGATACATTGATATATTTATGTACCTAATTTTGGATAAATGCAGAATGTACATTTAACATATTAAGGATAATCTTTTTTCTAATTGGTTTCTGTTGATTTCTGGTATGTGGTAATGAAAAGATCTGAAATAGTAGAAAAGGGGCAGACAGATATTTATAAACTAAAGTTTTGTTCTCCTTATAAATATGTGAGTTAAGTTCAGGGACTTTTAAGGTATAAAGGCTTTCTAAATAGACCTTGTTATGTATGGTAGGGTATTTAGTGTAAGAATCTTACATACTTTTCTCTGTCTTTTAGTGACACTGGTACAGTACCTCCAGAAAGATGCCTCTTTGGAGTGATGCTAAATATTGCTGCAGTTTTAGGTAAGTAATAGAAGAGGGAATGGTTTTAACACTCAAATGAATAGTCAAATTGCTGACTTCTTTTAAAATTGTTATCACTGCTTATTTTCTAGTTATACTTGAAAATGTGTTACTACTAAATTGTGGGTTATAGTTATGTTTTTGAAAAAAGAGAAGAAATCCTTGGTTATATAATGATAAACATTGCTGCCTGCCAAATCAGGGGAGAACCCAGATTTTTATTAATTAGTAAAATATTTTGCCATCAAATATGATCATTTAAAGTAATTTCATTTGTCAATTCAATAAATTTGCTTGCATGAAAAAATAAATTAGGACTAGACAGATGACTCAGGAGGTTGAGGTACTGGCTACTGAGCCTGATAACCTTGAGTAGTTTGATCCCCGGATCCTTCCTACCTTGGGAAGGAGAGAACCAACTATCAAAGGCTGTCTAGTGCCTTACACTCACTCACTCACTCACTCATACCACAAACAAACAAATAAAAAAACAAATAAATGTAAAAGACCATTGAAGAAATTGAAGTTAGGAAAAATAATTTATTTTTTATATATATTTATTATTTTTTCTCATTTTACATATTGATCCCAGTTCCCTCTCCCTCCCAAATCCCCTGACCCCCACCCCAATCCACAGGGAGGGTGGTGTCCTCCAGAAGGGATCATCAAAATCTGTCAAGTCATTTGGAGCAGGGTCTAGACCCTCCCTCCTGCCTCTAGGCTAAGGAAGTATCCCTCTATGGGGAATATGCTCCCAAAGTCCTTTCTTGCACTAGGGATACATCCTGGCAGTCAGAGGTCCCTTAGATTGCCCAGGCCTTCTCACTGAGGCCCATGTTCAGGGGGTCTGAGTCGGTCTTATGCTGGTTTCCCAGCTACCAGTCTGGGGTTCCATGAGCTCTCCCTTGTTCAGATCAACTGTCTCTGTGGGTTTCTGTAGCCTGGTCTTGACCCCTTTTCTTATCACTCCTCCCTCTCTGCAGCTGGATTCCAGGCATTTGACTCAGTGTTTAGCTGTGGGTGTCTGCTTCTGTTTCTATCAGCTACCAGTGTTAGTGTTACCCCAAGATATTTTATGTTGTTTGTGTGTGTCGTAAAGGGTGATGTTTCGCTGATTTCTTTCTCAGCCCCTTTATCGTCTGTATATAGTAGGGCTGATTTTTTTTGAGTTTATCTTGTATCCTAATTTGCTTAAGGAGTTCCCTGATAGTTTTTCGGGTCAGTTATGTAAACTCATATCATCTGCAAATAGTGACAGTTTGACTTCTTCCTTTCTAATTTGTATCCCCTTGATCTCCTTTTGTTGTCTTATTGCTTTAGCTAGAACTTCAAGTACAGTATTGAAGAGATATGGAGAGAGTTGGCATCTTTGTCTTGTTCCTGATTTTAGAGGAATTGCCTTAAGCTTCTCTCCATTCAGTTTGATGTTGGCTATTGGTTTACTGTATATTGTTTTTATTATGTTTAGGTATGTTCCTGTTATCCCTGATCTTTCCAAGACCTTTATCATGAAAGGGTGTTGGATTTTGTCAAAGGCTTTTTCAGCATCTAGTGAGATGATCATGTGGCTTTTCTTTTTCAGGTTGTTTATATGGTGGATCACATTGATAGATTTTTGTATGTTGAACCATCCCTGCATCCCTGTAACGAAGGAAAAATAATTTATAAAAATATTTTTTCTCTTTAAATTCTTCAGAAACTTATCTACATAGCATGTATCTGTCATGTTTATTATACTGCAGTCTTGTTTGGCAATAACCTTGCAGTAGAAAGTTTGATTTGGCCCTTTTTTGAAATGTGAGCATATAAAGCAGGCTCTATTTTTCTTGTGTAATTGACTGCTGTGCCTTCATGAACCCACCTATGGAACCCTGAAATAAAACAGTACAAGAATGAAGAGTGAAGCTTTTTGTTTGTTTTACTTACACACGTCCCATCTGGATTCTACCATTGACTTTGATGGTGATCCTAAAAATATTATGGGTATAATATAATAAGAATATCATGAAACTTTTTTTCAGAACACATCAAACTTTTTGTCTAAATTTTATACTAAGCAGTTGTAGACATGAGACTCAGGAAAGGCAAATGGCTTGCTCAGGCACACAGGTGACTATAAAAGTTCTTTAAGATCTACAACTGTTTTTGTGTTCTCCTTTCAAATTTCTGTTCAAAGGACAATCTGTGTTTCTGGGTAGAGCTCACCTTTGTGTGTGAACTCTTCGCTGGCATTTTATTCCCCTGGTTACTCATTACTTCGTTGTTTTTCAAATTTTCTCTTCCCAGGTATTGCTACCATGTATGTTCGTTACAAACAAGTTCATGCACTGAATCCTGAAGAGAACCTAATCATCAAATTCAACAAAGCTGGCCTTGTACTTGGGATACTGAGTTGTTTAGGACTTTCTCTTGTGGCAAATTTCCAGGTTTGTTTTTTAACTAAGATGGTTATTTTCCTGAAATTCTTGCATGTCTGTGGTAAAATGTAAAGCTGAGCTGTTCAGTCACATGCTGCTCCTGTCTCTTTGCCTAACAGAATTAAGTACCATTTTAAAGAAACAGCTACTTTAACTAGTAGAGTTATCCATATTCAGTGATCTGAACTGTTTGTCAGTGCAGTCAGGACAGACTTCATCATACTTAGAGGAGGTTACCTCAAAATCAGACAGAACTGATATACATTGTAAGTGACACATTGCAGATCTAAAATTGGTGTTTTGTTTTCTGCATTCATTCTTATTCACGTCACCATACCAGTCCTCTCGGCTCTATCATTTTGAATCAGCTGTCTCTTGGTTATACCTCCTCCTTCAACTTTGGACATTTTGAACATTCTGACTCTTACTCATGGCTTCCCTTCTGTCCCTTTTATCCACAGATGCTAGCATCACCCAAATATACACGTGTTCTCCTTCTTTCTGTGTAAGGTTTTGCCACTTAAAGTGGTGAATATTATCACCTACCTTTTATCCCTCCTTTATGATTTGGGGGTGAAGGGTGCTGGGAGGAAAGTTTAGCCCTGTGGTGAATGTGGTGATGATTTTCTGATTACACTCTTAAATATTTAAGTGCTTCTGCTTCTCATTATTTTCATTATTTTTATTTTTCTTTCCTTTCTTGCCAATTCTTTTGAAGGATTGTTGATCTGTATTCACTCTTACTTCCCTTTACTCAATACTCCATTAAAAATAGTTCTCTGTTGTCTTCCTTAAATATCTGAATGAAAAGTAATTTGATGAACTCAGCTGTTTAATCTGATCAAAGGTCATCTCTATTCTGGTTCTCTAGCCTCATTTTTATATCATGGTATTTTGTTTTTTTTTAAGATTTATTTATTATGTATAGTGTTACCTGCATGTATGCCTGTAGACCAGAAGAGGGCACCAGATCCCATTACAGATGGTTGTGAGCCATCATGTGGTTGCTGGGAAATGAACTCAGGACTCTGGAAGAACAGTCAGTGCTCTTAACCACTGAGCTATCTCTCCAGCCCCCTGTATCACTATGTTCTTAACATTGCTGCTGTATATAATGCCTGCCCGCTTTGTTTATTTAGCCCCTTTACATAAGTACTCAAGCGTACTACAAGCTTCAGACCTAAGTAAATTCAGACCTCAATGTAGACCACAATTTCCTAGGAAGTCTTTTTTGCTGACTCCTACTGTGTGTATTCTGAGTTTTCTTTTTGTATTCTCTAGTCCTGGAAAGCTTATCATTTCTGCTTCTTACTTGAATCTATTTTTTATTAGTAGTGTCTATTTTCCTATTCACATTTTAGTGTATTTCTCATTAAGTGTAAGTGCAATTGTTTGCTACCACTGTAACTCCAGCACCTGCTACACTACTTGGTGCATTCAAGTGCTCATTAATTGTTTAGAAATTTTTGAGAAACACTGAAGGTACTTAAAAAGGTTGGGGAAAAGATGTCTTCTCATATGGTTACTTGTGTTCAAGAGAAAGCCCAATAATTATTAGAATGGAGGATTTTAAGTATAATTTAAGTTGAATGCCTTTCAACAGTAAATATGTAAAAGTCAACAAATGAATAATGGGTGGTAATGGTCCTCAATGTTCACTTAGAAAAATGTTTCTCTTCTAGATAAATCCTTCAGGATATTTGGAAGGGAATAATAAGCAGGGAAACTTTATTTAGCTTTCAAGGATTATCCCGTGAAAATACAATGAATTGGATAGTTTCAAAAAGAAACTTAATCTCTCAAAGTAAAGGTATTAGTAGGGCTGGTCTCTCCCATGCTCTTCTCTATTCTATAGATGACTGGTCTAGACCTTCTGCATCTCATTCTAACAGTTATCAGTAATCTTAAGCTCTTTTCCTTTGTTTCCCTAGTTTCTAAAATTATGAAACTAGAGAGTAAGTTGTAGATTTGTTTTTTTTAATATTTAGCTTATTTATACAAATAATTAAAGCTGATAACTACTCATATATATTGAACTTTTCAAAATTAAAAATAATTTTATTTTCATACAATGCATTCTAATCACAATTTTCCCCTCACTCACTTCCTCCCAGATCCTCCCCACCTCTCCACCCATCCAGCTGTCTGACTTTACACCTTCTTTCTGTTTGTAGAAAACAAATAGGCAAAATAAAACAATAAAAACAAATGAACCAGAATAAAACAAACAGAAAATATAGGAGAAACACACACACATACAGTCATTTAAACACACAAACCCACTTAAACACAAAATGTGGGACTATAATATATAAGCAAAGGACCAGTAAGTTTAAAAAAAAAAAATCAAGCAAAGAATTATGAGACAAAAAAAAAAAAAAAAAAAAAAAAGAGAGAGAGAGAAAAGTCTGCAAAATCCCATTGAGTTTGTTTAATGCTGGTCATCCTGCCCTTAAGTGTGCTTTGTATACTTAGCAGAGACTCCATTTGGAGAAAATTAAGTTTTCTTTTGTGAGCAGTTGTTAATTTGAGATAGCTTAATGGTTAAGGATGGGACATATGTCTACTTCCTCTCTCAGTGCTGGCACGCCATCTGGCTTGTACCTGTGCAGATCCTGTGCATGTTGCCAGTCTCTGTGAATTCATGTGTGTCAGTACTGTTGTATCTGGAAAGCACTGGCTCCTTGATGTCTTCTATCCCCTTCTATCCCCTCTGTCTCTTATACTTTCTGTCTCCTCCTCTGCAATGCTCCCTGATCCCTGAGGGAAGGGGTTGATGAAGATAATCCCATTTAGGATTTAGTGTTTCAAGGTCTCTTACTCACTACATATTGGCCAATTGTGGGTCTCAGTATTCCTTTCCCTCTCCTGCAGGAGGAAATTGGTCTACTTATAGGTGAGTGAGACACTGACCTAAGACTATAGCAGAATGTCATTAAGAGTTATTTTATTGCTATGTCCCTTTAGTGGAACAGTAGTATTTATTTTTCCCCTAGGCCCATGACCTGTCTAATCTCAAGGTTCTTGACCACCCAGTGTCAGACATGGGTTCCATCCCATAAAGTAGGCTTTAAGTCCAATCAGCTAGTCATTGGTTACTCCTACAACTTTTGTACCACTATTGAACCAGTGTATCTTGCACCATTGTAGAATGAAGGGTTTGCTGCTGGGTTAGTGTTTATATCTCTTCTTAGGTAGCATGCAGAGTACCACCTATTATCATGAACAATAGTCAGTAAGTGTAATGGCTCTAGTTAGGTAACAGCATGGCTTCTCCATGTTCAATGAGACTTGTAGATGTTGTCTTTAGCAATAAAACCTCATCATCAGTTTGTAGAGAGCAATCAATTTCTTTGTCAATAGTCCGAGTTTTTGTGGGGGTTCTTATTAGGCTCCTTAGGCTAACAACTCAATTAGATATAACCATTCATGGCACTGAAAGTTTCACTTGATGGCAAGAGATCTTCTTGGGTTTTGTCTCTCCCTGTTATTTTGTGATTCTATTAGATTTCTTTCATATATGTATGTATTTTAAGAAACTTCTACTGTAATTGGTTTCTATAAGACCCCCTCAAATGACTGTTAGTGTTAGCTGTCCCTCCTTACCTTCCTTCTGTTTCCATTTAATTTTATACACCTCCATTTCTATTTTTAATACAGCAAATACTTTCCCTCTATTCTTTAGTTTTTGTCTATAATTTAAAGATTTTGTTAAGGAATTATATATTGGCATTGGTTGGGCTATGTCTATATTTAGCTTTCCCACATAAAATATCCAAGGCTTCAAGGAAGGAGCCCACTTTTTCATTAAGAAAAGAAGCTGCTGCCTTTGAGAAATCAAATCTCTGATTTCTGTAAATTGAGAATTTTCTGTAGCAATCAACTGAGGGATAACAAATTAACTGTGTTTGTGGATTGTATGGCTGATGTGAAAGAAGGAAACTGGACCCTGCCTTTCCTTTATTTTCTTAGTCTTTAATCTCCCTTTGCGCCAAGTGTTAGATTTGCCTTTTCTACCAAAGGAAGTACAAATACTACTAATTAAAAACAAACAAACAAACAAAAAGAAAAAACCTCAATGATTTTAAATATTGTTTATAGAAATTTGATATTGCTGGTTGTTACTTTTAAACAGATGGAACACATAGTGTTAGAAATTGGATATAAGAAAATAAGGGGAAGACATTGTAACTTAGAATAATTCCTGTGGCATAATCAATAACAAATTAGTGCCATGAAGGCTTTAAGTTACATTTAAATTTAAACTCTCTTCCCCTGATATCCTTAGCTCTCTGCTTTTAACCTACTTACCTTTTTCTATTATTATTATTACCATTTTGTACCTTATTATGGAATAGCCTTATTTCTGGTTTATTATTATTTTTGTGTACCTTCACTAGAACATAAGCTATGAGGGCTGAGTGTCTGTTTCACTTAATTTGCATATTAATAAGTTAATCACTTAATTTGCATATTAATAAGTTTAAAAAATATTTGATACCAAATAGGACTCAAGAAAAATGTTAAGTCAAAAAGTAACCAAAAGTCATGGATACTTGTTACCATTGTAACTGTTGGTAAATGAAGTCATCTGGTTTCATTGTAATATTCCAGTGCTTTGGGGAAGTGATTTTTGAATCCAGAGCTTGTCCACTCAGCAAATATGTGGCTTGCGCCTTTAAATTGATGTGAATGAGTTTCTCTCACTGAGTGACTTCTTTTTTCTGCTTCTCAGAAATCAACACTGTTTGTTGCACATGTATGTGGAGCTGTGCTTGCTTTTAGTATGGGTTCATTATACATGTTTGTTCAGACCATCATTTCCTACCAAATGCAACCTAAAATTCACAGCAAACAAGTCTTCTGGGTCAGACTGCTGTTGGTTATCTGGTGTGGAGTAAGTGCACTTAGCAGTATCCTTTGTTGTAAAGTGTGGTTTATTGTGCAAAGAGGATAGAAGAACAAAACAAGTGAGTAGAATAGGTACAATATAAGTGCCAGTTTGTTAATGTTAATATTTTATGTGTATGGGTGTTTTACCCACATGTATTTTGTATGTGTATCATGTGCATACCTAGTAACCACCAGTATCAGAAGAGGGTATCAGATACCATAGATTTGGATTTATGGATGGTTGTGAAATACCATAGGTCTTGGGAATTGAGTCTTGATCCTCTGTAAAAGCAACATGTTCTCTTAACTGCTGAGGCATTATTTCAGCATTACCCACTCCCTACCCCACCAACACCCTTTAAAGTCATTTTAGGGTAATGAAAGTTACACATTTGTGCATGAAATTCAGACAGAAATAAAGTAACACAAATAATGTTTAGCATAGTCATAATTAATAGAAATCAAGGTAGAATTATTATGCTCATTACAGAAAATTTTCAATGGAAATTTATGGTCAAGCTGCTGCTGTTTGATCAAAGAGGAAAGGTCATGATGATGTTAACCATTTCCTGTGAGCCCTTTGGATACATCTTTAGTTTTAATACTGCCATATGACATTACTTCTTTAAAGAATTAGGATTGGACCATAGCTACAAATGGGTAAGCTAGCCTTTAAAGTGATTTGTTGTTGTTAGGATTTACAAGTTTAAATCTTCAGGTCTCTGAGATTTTTCCTTGACTTTTTTATAGTGCTGACTTGCTCATCAATTTTGTACAGTAGTGATTTTGGTGCTGATGTAGTACAGAAACTACACTGGAACCCTGAGGACAAAGTAAGAGCTTAAAGTCTATCGTGTGTGTGTGTGTGTGTGTGTGTGTGTGTGTGTGTGTGTGTGTGTGTGTAATTTTTTTAAGTATTTATTTTCATTTTAAATTTATCTTTATTTGTATGTATCTGTACATCATATATGTGTGGATACCTGTAGGCCAAAAGAGGGCATTGGATCTCTTAGAGCTATATTTACATGCAAATATGAATTGCCCAACATTGGAGCTTGGAACCCAACTTGGTTCCTCTGGAAGAACAGCAAGCACTCTTAACCATTGAGCCATCTCTCCAAACCTGTGTCATATATGTTGTAAGTTAGTGTACAAACTCTAAAAATAGACCTTATAAAAATTTATAGTGAGTATTCTTTGACTTTTCCTAGTGTCATTTTTATGAATTTTATGGAGATACAGACACATTTATGTATACTTTGTATGCACATGCATTAGAGAGAGTGTGAGTGTGTGTGTTTGTGTGTGTGTGTGTATACTTGAAAGGCAGAGGACAGTCTTCAGGTGTCATTCCTCAGGTGCTGCCCAGCTTATTTTTTGGGACAGAATCTCTCACTGGCTTAGGGTTTGCTGATGTGGCTGTGCTGTCTGGCCACCAACTCCAATAATTTGCCTGGTTCTAGCTCCCCAGTTCTAGGGTCAGAAGCATGTACCGTTACACTGGCTTTTTTCTGTGGTTCTGGGGAGAGAGGGAAGCTCCTCATGTGTTCATATCAAGCACTACCAACTGAGCATCTCTCCATACTCCCTCCAAATATACCTTTTTGTTGCTGGAGGTTTCTTGTCCCGCCAGGTCCCACCCCTTTAAGCACTAAATAAGCACACAAAGACATATATTAATTTATACAACTGTTTGCCAATGGCTAGGGCTTCTTATTGGCTAGCTCTGTTAATTATTAACACATTTCTATAAATTATGTATTTCCACTTACTAGAGAATGCTTGGCACATCTTATCTTCCTGGTCTTTACATGGCATCTCTTTTGGTCTCTCTCTGCCTACCTTTCCTCCCTCGTCTCCTAGTCCCACCTGTCTTCCTGCCTCTCTTGGCCAAACAGTGTTTTATTCAACCAATAAGAGAAACATACATACAGACAGACATCACCCATCACTTTTTAAAGATTTACAGTGAAGGGGATCAAACCAAGGGTCTTGTACAAGCTAGGCACAGCTTGTTTAGTTGGGTCTTTGGAGTGGGGGTATATTTTTAATTTCACTATATAGTATGGCTGACCTTAAATTTGTGATCTTCATTCAGCCTCCTCCGTGTAAGGATTATATGTGTTGATTTATGAATTTTATAGCTCGGGGAAAGAAGGTAAATTTTTGGTTTTACAATGGAGTCTCTTTTGTCTTGGTTATTTAGTGGAAATTATATTTAATCTAAGTGAAACTCAGACATCTAGTATGATTTAGGAGGTGTATTCATATCTACTGCAGTTCTCAAAACATATTCACAACTCAAAGCTAGATTTTCAGAAGGAAGATTGATCTATAAGAAGTTGATGTTGCTTAGTTTGAGTGTTTGAATAAAACTTCACAGAACTATCCTGTTTTTCCTCTTTGATTGAGGGGTATGTGCTCCACATGGTCACTACTGCAGCAGAATGGTCTATGTCATTTTCCTTCTTCGGATTTTTCCTGACTTACATTCGTGATTTTCAGGTAAGAAAATAGTTTGCATTTTATTCAGTAAAGCTTCATGTGGAATATCAGAGTATTTCATTGGCTGATTCCTTGTTCTTTATGAAAATTAGCAATTTAAAGTCTGTCACCAGAGACAGTGATACAAGAAGAGGAATTTCTGGTGAAATTATTTCTGGGTTTGATGAAGTAGTGTGTTACAAGTAAATTTCAGCCTTGATAATGAAATTGCAAAACATATCTGAAGAAAGTCTTCAGTAGACTTCTGTAATCTGTGTGCATTCATATAGGCCCAGCCCTACCACATAGTTTTACGAGAAAACCAGGAGACTCACTGAGGCAAGAAGCTGATTTTCCCATTCCACTTGGTGTCAGCTTGTGGCAGTGACTTCCTGTTCCTCATCAGATCCATTTTTATCTCTGACTCCATAAAGGAGACTGTGGAGCATAGTGAAGAGATAGTCTCTCATAAGAACCAAACTTCTCTGAATAATTTTCTTTTCTGTTCCAGAAAATTACTTTGCGGGTGGAAGCCAATTTACATGGATTAACCCTCTATGACACTGCTCCTTGCCCTGTAACCAATGAAAGAACACCACTGCTTTCCAGAGACTTTTAATGAAGATAAAAACTACTTCTGTGATAATTATGATTCTCAGGGATTTGAGAAAGATGCACAACAGTTGCTCATTATATTCTGAAAATTTGGATCAGTTAATCAAGGCTGACAGTGACATTAATGAACGATGATAATCAAGAGAAATGTAATAAACCATCTGATAAGTTTTTTTAAAGATGTCACTAAGAAGATTATCTAGAAATATTTATGCCTAGACTTTTTTTTTATCTTAGAAAATAAAACCAAAGGATAATACCATTGTAGTGTTGCTACTTTGTTGAAGAAAAACAGACTAAAGAACATCAAGTTGTCTGTATCATTGGCCTTAAATATTTCATCAGTCATTTTAAAAGCATCTTTGTTATGAACACTTATATGGGAGACATTTTCCATGACCCATAATTACCAGCATTGGTCAGCAGATCATTTGGAATCAGTGTTTGATGTTGAAGTTTTACCTTATTAAGACATTTCTTATAGTGCTTAAACATGTCATCATTATTGTTGTTGTGTAATCATCCCCCTACCCCCTGTAAATAGGATATGGCATAAGTTCTTTGATGGCTTCAATTTTGCACACACAAATAAAGTCAATGGGCCTTTATTTGATTCTGGGCATATGAGTATTAACAGATCTATCATACATTCTTCCAAAAATTTCATGGAGTCTTGTCTCCAAGATTAGAGTTTTAATTACCAGTGACACAAAGATATTTGTTGAAAATATACTACCATCTTGTTCTTTATAAAAGTAAACATTGGCTGATGACATTGCAGTCTGACAACCTGAATTTAATATGTGGGTCCCACATAGTGGAAAGAAAGAATAGACTCCTACTAGTTAATTCTTTGACCTCCAAATGCATGTGTTATTAAATAAATTAGGGTTGATGTTCCTAAGTAAATAAAGATTACAAGTTCTATAAGCAAAAGGAGATATGATTAATAACAAATGAAAGTTACTCTACAGCTAGGAGCTTCTTAGCTTTTCATTTATAGAAAATTATAATTATTGTTAAAATAGTTTTGAGTAGATATTTATCCTTTTCACTGGAATGTGATCTTCTTAGAACCTAGATCTTGAGACCAAAATCCAAAATAAAAACCTAACTATAATAGTGATAAATGAATCTTTTTTCTCTCATGCAAATATTGGAAAGTTTTTATTTAAATCTCTTTATGGATAGAGGATAGTTTCTAGATCCCCACTAAGATTAAAAGGAAAGAAATAGTTGACCTAGAAAGTGCCCAGAATCTAACTAGTTTGTAAAAGAATCTTTGATGAATTCTCACACCGTTTATAATTTTAGAAAAGATGGGGCTGAGACCAGAAGATGGTGAGAAAATGTTTTAACTGTGTCAAGGAAACTGTTTATATGATGGAATTGTAGACTTCAATTATAAATTGTTAAATACAGAAGTCAATAATTACTTTGAAGAAATGGAGAAATGGAATGTTTACTTGTGCCAAGCAACAGTGAACAAGGGAGACGATTCATTAAACACTTGTTGATAGACTATTGCTACTACTAGAAGAAATTGCATGCAAATCATGAAAAGCTACTAATGCTATTGAAAAAATGTGCTGTAACCACAAAAGAAAATTATTTTTCCCTGTGGTTTCTCACTACTGGTAAGTTAAGTTATGAAATATCCATGGTATGATGAGAAGGAAAGTGAAAGAGGGAAAAATCCAGGAAGGTAAATAGTAGGGAAGGTAGTTAAGAGAAAAACATAAACCTGTTAAAATTACCCCTTCTCAAGATTATTAACCTTAGAGATATAGTTCATACAATAAAGAAATTACTCTAAGGTGAAAAGTTACTAGTCTGCTAGTGTTTATATTCTAATAGTTAACATGTACCCTTTCAAGTAACAAATAATGAAAACTTGAATAAATTTAAAGAAGGGATTGTAAACCAAGAGAAATGTAAATGTTGTTTTCTACCTTAAGGGAATGATAGACAGTGGCTCTCTTCCTCAGTATACCATCCCTACCAATACTACCAAATACAAGTGTGGGTTAACAGATAAGAAAGGCATTTTTCCAAAGTGGCGGTACAAGGTTGCACTCTGACAAGCAATGCAAGAGCATACCTCTTGTACAGCCACTTTGGAAATCAGTATGGTGGTTTCTCCAGAAAATGGGAATCAGTCTACCTCAAGATTTAACAATTCTACTCTCAGGCATATATCCAAAGGACACACATTAATATAACAAGGAAACTGTTCAACTATGTTCATAGCAGCATTATGTATAATAGCCAGAACCTGGAAGCAAACTAGAAGCCCCACAACAGAAGAATGGATTCAGAAAATGTGGTATATTTACAAAATGGAGTGCTACTTGGGGGGTGAGCAATGTAATCTTGTGATGGGAAATGCAATTATGTATATATGTTTCTCATACTGGTTAATAATAAAGCACTGTTGGCCAATAGGAAAGGAAGATAGGAGGGACTAGGAGATAAGAAGGAAAGAGGAAGTAGTAAGGAGGGGTCAGCATGGAGAGTCTGGAGAGAACAGAACCGCCATTCCTCAGCTCTCAGTAAGACCACCTGGAAATACATAGAAATGGGTTAATACTTAAGACAGAGCTAGCCTATAAGAAACAAGTAACTGGCCAACAGCATAATATCAAAAAAAAAAAAAAAGACATTTTTCTTTAATCCCCCATTTGTGTGTGTGTGTGTGTGTGTGTGTGTGTGTGAGGAGTGTCAAATATTTAGCTTTTCAGTTATGAAATCTTAAAGTAATAAACTTGGCAGGTGAGTGAAAAATCTTACTTCATTTTTGTCTTGGAAACAATACTTTCTTTAGCTACCTCACAATTATTTTACTTTATTTATCTTACGTGCTGATCCCAGTTCTCTCTCCCTCCCTCTTATACTCTCTCCCCTCTCACATGCACACTGAACACCCTCCTCTCCCATCCCCCCACCCCAATTCCACATGTAGAGAAATGACATCCAGGTGGGCTCATGTAAATCTGTCCAGTCATTTGAAGTAGAGACTAGGACACTCTCCTGTCTCTAGGTTAAGGCAGTATCCCTCCATAGGGGATGCATCCACAAGGTCTTTTGTGCACCAGGAATACATCTTGGTTCCACTGTCTGAGGCTCCTTAGACTGCTCAGTCCTTCTAGCCGAGACCCATGTTCAGGGGGTCGGAGTCAGTCCCATGCTGGATTCCCAGCTATCAGTCTGGGGGCCCATTAGCTCCCCATTGTTCAAGTCAGCTGTCTCTATGTGTTTCTGCAACCTGGTCTTGTCCTCTCCATCTACATCTGGATTCTAGTTCGACTCAGTGTTTAGTTATGCGTGTTTGCTTCTGTTTCCAACAGGTACTAGATGAGGGCTCCATGATGGGGGATAAGTTAGTTGTTGATCTCCCTATCGAGGAAGGGCATTTATGGTAGCCTTTCCAGGGTTGCTCAATGTACTGAGATAGTCCTTCTGTGGCACTGACCATGCCCATTGGGGGGTGGAGCCATGGGCAGAAGTGACCTGTGGAAGGAAGTTGGAGGGAGAGCCGGGAAAAGCTCTCTTGCTGGCGTGACTCGGACAGGAGAGGATTGGGTTGAATTTCCTGGTGTTCATCTGTCTAGGTTGTAAGTTATTTCTCTCTGAATAAACATCTATTTGGCCTATTTGTTTATCCTGATCCTCATTTAATCACGATAGCTCAAATTGTTAGTTGGCGGCATCTTGTAGGTCTCTAGACCTTTCTTTAGATTCAGTTTTCTCTTGAAACCAATAATGGCTCCCTCTTTTATGTCCTCTCTTTCTTCTCTCTCTCTCTCTTTCTTCTCTCTCTCTCTCTCTCTCTCTCTCTCTCTCTCTCTCTCTTTTCTGTCTTCTATTCCTACCCTGGCTCAATCTTACTAGTCACACATGCTTCCCTCTCCTCCCCTTCTCTTTCTCCTACTTCTCTCTCCATTCACTGCCCCCCCCATTTCCCATGTGTTCTGGGGGACTTGTCCCTTCCCCATTCTGTGAAGGACTTTATATGAATCTCTTAGAATACACCTTGTATCCTAGTTCCTCTGGTGGTGTGAATTATAGGCTGGTGATCCTTTGCTCTAGGTCTAAAATCCATATATGAGGGAGTACATACCATGTTCCTCTTTTTGTGACAGGGTTACCTCATTCAGGATGGTTTCTTCAATGCCATCCACTTGCCTGCGAATTTCAAGATACCATTATTTTTTTCTGCAGAATAGTATTCCATTGTGTAGATGTGCCACATCTTTACCCATTCTTCAGTTGAGGGGCATCTAGGTTGCTTCCAGGTTCTTCTATTACAAATAATTCTGCTATGAACATAGTTGAGCACTTGTCTTTGTTGCATGGATGTGGATCATTTGGGTATATGCCTAAGAGGGGGATTGCCGGGTCCTGTGGTAAACTAATTCCCATTTTCCTGAGGAACTGCCATACTGATCTCCAAAATGGCTGTATGAGTTTGCACTCCCACCAGCAGTGGAGGAGTGTTCCACTTTCTCCACATCCTCTCCAACATAAGTCATCACTGGTGTTTCTAATTTTAGCCATTCTGGCAGGGGTAAGATGGTATCTCAAAGTTGTTTTGATTTGCATTTCCCTGATAGCTAAGGATGTGTAGCATTTTCTTAAGTGTCTTTCAGCCTTTTTGATTTTCTCTATTGAGAATTCTTCAGTTCTGTACCCCAATTTTTAATATGGTTGTTTGGTGTTTTGTTGACTAGTTTTTTGAGTTCTTTGTATATTTTGGAGATCAGCCCTTTGTCAGATATAGGGTTCGTAAAAATCTTTTCCTATTGTGTGGGCTGCTGTGTGGTTTTGTTCACTGTGTCCTTTGCCTTACAGAAGCTTCTAAGTTTGAGGAGGACCCATTTATTAATTGTTGATCTCCTGTATTCCTGGAGTTATGTTCAGGAAGTGGTCTGTTATACCACTTTGTTCAAGGGCATCTGCTACTTTCTCTTTTTTTTTTAAATTTTTTTTATTTATAATTTTTTATTTAATTTTATATAACAAAGTCCAATTAAATGACAACAAACATTTATACATAATATTTGGGAATTTGGGCGTCATTCTTTCCAAACTACTTCCTGCTGGTAAGGGGTGCTGTCTTGGGGGATTCGAAGAAGATTCAGATATCCTAGCTGTAGTCTGTAGGGCTGTTTTGTCCAGCTGTTTTGAATGTAGGATCAGCTTGTATTCTGTTTCAGGCGGTCTGGCGTGATCAAACCACATTTGTCTGGAAGGAATCCACATCTTTTCATTTTCTGAAACAAAAATAGAAATCCTTTTCCCCAGTAACTTGTTCTTCAAGTTAAATTTTGGAGTCAAAGCATTTTTTTTTAATTTATTATTTTACATGTTGATCCCAGTTCCCTCTCCCTCCCTCTCTCCCTCCCTCCCTCCCCTCCAGCCCTCCCTCCCTCCTTCCCTCCCTTTTACCCTCTCTGCCCTCTCACATGCACTCTAAACACCCTCCCCTCCCATCCCCCCACCCCAATTCCATATGTAGGGGAATGCCATCCAGTTGGGGTCATGTAGATGTGACAGCTTTGAAGTAGGGACTAGGGCTTCTCTCCTGTCTCTAGAATAAGGCAGTTATCCCTCCATGGGG